TCAAAATGATAGTATTATTAATTTCTGTATCTTAAATATTTATCAATAATTGGTCACGATTTGTGAGACAATGAAGAGATAAAACATAGATATTCGACGGCCTCGCAAACAAACGAATACTTATCGAGACTATACATACCAGGTGGATAAAAACTTACTCACCAGCCACCACATGTGAAGATAAATGATTTCATAAAAATTTTGACAATTCGAAAGTATGCGGGATATGTTGGATTATTCATAAAAATGAAAATAATATTGCAATAAGTCGTGCACGTTGAAAATTACGTAATGTTAAGCAGCAGAATTGTATGTGGAGTAAAATGTCAAATGTGAATGAAATCAGCGCCACTGTCAAATTTCTATCAGATTAGAAACTAGTGAATTAGTCAATCATCGAAAATAAGAGCAAAAACAACTTTGTTTTTGGATGTGATAACAATATCAATTCTTTCTTGGTTTATTCAACAGAAAACAACTACTTTCCTGGCTATATGCCACGACGAACATTGAATTGATTGTCTTTATTACCCCAAGAAACATTATTGTTTATAATAGGGATATACCTATACAACAAAACATACATATTATAAAACATAATAAATCGAAACAATAATAATTGCACAATTATTGTTTTTCCTAAAAAAAGAATTACAATAAAATATAAAATGAAAATATCATAATCCATTACAAGTAATCAAATTGTGAATGATTAGTACTATTAAAGTTTACTGAGCAGATATTTCTTTAATTTCATTTTAAATTTTTCTGCTTCTTCTATATTTTTCAACTCATTAGGTAAGGAGTTATACAAAATTATTCCATTATGGAATATTGATTGTTTACCAAAATTTGACTTATAATTATTTGCTATCAATAAATTGAATTGCCTTGTTTCATGGGCGTGAATCGTATTAACTTCATTAAAATTCAAATTCGATATTTTCAATTCCTTCCTGACAAAATGAATAAAACAACAAATTTTGAGTTTATATAATGAAACTAGATTCAGCAAGTCTTTAGGTTTGTATAGATTCGCAGTTGATTCTAAAAAAGGTAAATTGAAAATGCACTTTATTGTTTTATTTTGTAATTTCATGAGTGGCTTCAAACGTGAAATATTTGTACTTCCCCAAATTAATATTAGATATTGTATAATTGAATAAAAAAGACAGAAATAAATACTCTTTAGGTATTTAACAGGAATGAAATTTCGAATTTTATATATAATACCAGCAATAGGATTCAATTTTTTTCTCAATTGATCTATATGTAGAGTTAGAGAATTACATCTATTGAACACACACGATAAGAATTTGAAAACAAAATCTTCTGAAGTAGAGAATTTGCATTCTCCTTCATATAAAGATATGCACATGATATCATTCTGAATATTCAACAAAAAACAAATACTTTCCTGGCTGTAATGTATTTCTTTATATATATATATATATATATCCATTTTTTATGTTCATTATCATATCTGAGAATATTCCTTTTCAAGAACAACTTTTTTATACTAATTATAATACACAGTCGACAAATGACACTGAATTTGACAGTCATTGGGGGCAAGAAAAAGCACAAAAAGTCATTCGGTTTCAGCATTTTCAAAGGACTCAATTTCCTTAGATACATAGTGGCCCATTGAAAACGAAACAACGGCCAGCGCTGCGGCGTTGCCGCTTCTATCGAGAAGTAGCAACAACTTTGTTATTTCAAATGGAAAACCCTGTATTTCATTGCATTTTTAGATTCTCCCTGAAGAGCTGATTTCATCAATGCATCACACTTGAGGTGTAAAGGAAATGATTACAGAGATATAGGGTGTTCTGAATCGTGATTTTTCAACTTGAGAATTTGTTCCTGTCAACACTATTCATTATTGGTCAAAACGACTTACGTGTCCCCTGTATCTGTTCCAATGAAATGTCAGTAGATAGTGAATCGAAAGTTGGGATAGGGACATGAAAGCCGTTTCGACCAATAATAAATAGTTTCGAAACAAAAAAATTCCTAGAGGTCCACATCATTATAAAATTCCGATTATTTTTCGTACATTTAAATTTTACCATCATTTTGGATTAGGCGTCATATCTTTATTTTGTCAGTGTGAGGTGTAAACATCCCTTCAGAAAAAGCGCCACCTACTGTCTACTTATTTGGAATATAGTATATAGTTCGCTTTCTACCCGTAGCACGCCCAATGTTTCTTTTCGGGTACTTAATGCAAAAAATATCGACAATATCGACAATTTTGATAATATCGATGAACCGATAATATCGATACATTGTGATTATGGTAAAACTGCATTTATCATGCGATGGGTTTTTTTTTTCGAAAATTTTTTTGGGAACTTACGTATTTTTGTCTGAAAAAAACGAATTTGATAATGAAAATGTGAACAAACCATTATTTATCAAGATATTTCACTATAGAGTTACAAATTTCACCTTCTTTTCCGCCTGTCTACTGGATCGCATTTAGAACAATTTGCCCTTCTTTTTTCATCATTGGACAATTTATATATATCACAATGTATGACAATTTTTTTTCTATTATATGAGTCAACTAGAAACATGATTTTCTTGTGATTTATCCATATTTAGTGAACAGAAGGAACAATATCATTTGAAATAATGGCGTGTGTAATGTCAATCAAAAGCAATCGATTGACATTTGACATCTCGTATTTGGATTGACTATTGATTATATGTCCGTCATCTGGTATGCTCGTTCACTAAATATGAAAAACTCGCCATAAAAACCATATTTCCTGTTGAATTTTCTATACAGGGTGTTTCATTACTAATTGGAAATATTTCAACCATAGAATCCCGAACTCAAAATATGAAGATTTAACCCAAATCACCTATATAAAATATGTCTCCTGTCTGAGTTACAGGGTGTTTTATTCAAAAATTTTGAAATGTAGGTATTATACATCCAACTGAATTATGTGAAATGAACTTTTCTAGCTATTACCAGAGGCGTACGACAGGGGCAATTAACTGGTTGATCCCTCCCAAATTCTACGCCACTGGCGGAATTGCAATTTTATCAGAATTTTTCGATTTTCCAACAATTTTGCCGTTGATATTGTACTCTTTCTCCATGGCGATAATGTCATTACTTTTCGAGATATTTCAAGTTAAACATAAATTTGCAACAACAAAATTTCGAACTTTTTCTTGAAATATCTCGATAAGTAGCGGTTTGTTCACATTTTCATTATTAAATTCGTGTTTTTCAGACAAAATACGTAAGTACCAAAAGAAATTTTCGAAAAAAAACCCATCGCATGATAAATGCCTCCTCAACTGTGATGTATTGATGAAATTAACTCTTAAGAGAGAATCCAAAAATGCAGTGAAATACCACAGAACTTTGAGTCTTTGAGTTCTGTGTGAAATACAGGGTATTACATTTGAAATAACAAAGTTGTTGCTACTATTCGATAGAAGCGGCATCGAAAATGTATTTGATTTTTTTACTGATGTCATCATGATCATCTCATCTGTTTTTTTTTTCCTTATTCGATATTGTCACAGATTAATAAGGGTTTGTTAATCTGTGATAGTGTTAAGTCCGAGTTTTTTTTTGCATTTTTTGATTAGATAGTATAATGCTCTTTGTTTTCTGTATTCATGATATTCAAATCACTGATAACGGTTGCCTGGCAAACATTTTGAAAAACAAGTACCTAGGTACCACTTTCATACTTTTCTGTAGGAAATTAATGAAATTGCGAAATTGGTATCAAAATATGACAAACTACAATAACCACTGAAAATAAACGGAGAGTTTTGCTGATTTTTACCAAATAATTAACACTTCTAACTGCTAAATTGGCTAAATAATTAGCAAATACTAATATTATAAAGAGGAAAGATTTGTTTGTTTGTATGTATTGAATAGGCTCCGAAACTACTGGATCGATTTGGCTGAAAATTGGTGGGGAGGTAGCTTAGAACCAGGAGAAGGTTATCGGATACTTTTTATCCCGGTACCATTAGGAAATACAAGATGGCGGATCTAATATGTCGGACGAGTTTTGTAATTATGGCCCGATCCTATTCAAAATTGGTATCAGGCGGTTTTCGGGTTCGGAGATTATGATTCTTTCGTCAGAATTTGAAAAATCGGTCGGAATTTTTAAATTCAAAATGGCGGAACCATTATGGCGGACGAGTTTTGTAATTATAATCCGATTTTTTTAAAATTGGTACCTTGGGGTTTTCGTGATCGGGGATGATGATTCCTTCGTCAAAATTGGGAAATTGAAGATGGCGGATCCAAAATGGCGGACGAGTATTGTAATTATGATCCGACTCTCTTCAAAATTGTTATCTGGGTGTTTTCGGGGTCAAGGATTATGATTCTTTTGTCAAAATTTGGAAAGGGCGGGATTTGGGAATTCAAGACGGTGGAACCAATATACCGGACGAGTTTTGTAATTATATACCGATTCTATTCAAAATTTGTAAGTGGGCGTTTTCGGGATCAAAAATTATGATTCCTTCGTCAAAATTAGGGAATTCAAGATGGTAGATCCAATATTGCAGACGAATTTTGTAATTATGTTCCGATTCTATTCAAAACCTTCATCTGGGGTTTTAGGAGTCGGATATTATGATTCTTTCGTCAAAATTGGGAAATTCAAGTAAACTAAAAAGAAGTTGAAATAAATGGTAGTTTGAAAAACTAAAGAAACACGCTTCTATAGATAGCGAAACTAAAAAGAAGGAGAAAATAAAATAATAATAGTGTCTTGATGAATATTGAACTGAAAAAATATATTATAGAAATAATGTATATTCAAAACAACGTTTGCGAGGTATGCTAGTAAGAGTTAAAATATAGATAAAGAATTGGAGAATGTATTGAAATCTAGTCAGTGGTAAAGTCAAAAAAAGTTCTAGCGATTTTTTCACCAACCAACAGTAGGTAATCAACATATTTTCCACAAGAATTTTTCTGAAAAAAATGGTTTACTCACTGTACAACTTGGGGCTCTTCTGACGTAGTCCCCTTCTCTGGAATAGTGACGGCCCTGTATTGCAATGTGTTGTACGTTTTCCAGAACAGATATTCCCTGCAAAGAGAATTTCTTGATAGAGCGCGATTCTTCCGACTATTTTGTTCTTGAAAGAAACGAAATTTCGGTCACACCAAGCGGAAAAATACGATCCGACAGCTCTTCCACTTACCTAAAATATTTCAGACCCTCGTAGAGAGCTGCCATGAAAAAAATGCCGATCATCGAACCTATCAGACCGCCTACTGTCGTGAAGTGCCACTCTTTGAATAGCACAGTTGATTTGTGGGAGAAGAAAAACTGAAAGAAAGTACTCACGTCAAACAATATAAGAAACCTTATTGAACATGTCTTAATATCTATCGGTTGAAGCGTATGAATTAAGACATAACACATGTAGGACAAACTAGAAGAAATGTTGAAACAAGGTTCAAGGAACATAATGGGCATTAGTTTGTGATTTTTTCGAGCAAACAGCTTGTCAACATATTTCTTATACTCCATAACAAAGCATCATGTAAATATTGACTATATAGAGATTGGCAATGCTGTGCTGAATGCTGAGAACTGACAAGACAACGCCCACAGTCCTGTGTTGTCACGTTTACCGGACCGAATGTCCTTGAGTGTCAATTAATATAATCATTATCAACACTAATTCATCATAAACAATAGGACACAACATATAAGAGATCATTAATTAATTAATAATTAATTAATAATCAGTTGCGGTAAATTTATAGCCGTTTGAAAATTACCGTGATTATTTACTTCGTATGATTTCAAACAAATCAGAATGTTCAATTGTTTTGAAAAATTTCGTCGTCAAATTTTGACTCTCGGTCAGAACTACTCGAAAAATCGCATCGAATACAAATCGAACTTCAAAATCTTCAATGTTATACATCTCAAACTTCCTGCACAATTACAAATCGTGTCAGCTAAACAGAATAGTCCTCCCGCTTCGCAGTCGTATTATTTCAGCTGTTGAACTGGCACTCTTTGTAATTATGCAACAAGTTATTTATATATATATATATATATCGATGACCGAATATTTTTTAGTACTTATAGTATTACTACTGACAATATTGATGGTTTTTGCACCTTGAAATCAACCGAAAACATCTAAACAAATATGGAATTGAAAGGTAATTGGGTGATGATTCTATTGAATAAATAAAAAAAATAGTCCACTAACCCATAGATCAGAAAATTCAAGACCAGCAGAACATTATGTAATCAGAACACAGGTTGGAGAATCCGAAATGAATGCCTATAAATAGTGTCCTTATCTAAATTTAGGCCCAACATATGTGGGCCAAACTAGAGGAACCATTGATACAAGGTTCAAGGAACATATTGCAAGAATAAACTACGGTAGATTAGAAAAACCACGTCTTGGAACAGGTAAGTTGAAATAAAAAAATGTTTCTGTCTCCAATACTGAATATTGAGTTGTGGAGTTTGAAAATATTTGATTTTTTCAAAGTATAAGTTGATATCAAGGTTTATTAGGTTCTTATCCACGAATACTTCAAAAAACAACTAATAATGTAAAATGTTCGAACATTTGTTAGAGAGTACTGTCTGTAGGTTAATCGAGAAGGTGGTACATTCGTTTCTATAAAATAAAAAGATGGGTATTATGTCAATATATGTTTAGTAGGACAAATCAAGTGATTTGAACGAAAAACCTTTTTTTTCACTTTCAAGATTCCAATTTCATGTATACAAGAGGACTTGATAAGGATTTAACGATTGCGTCAAAACATATATAGGTCAAACTAGGAGACCCCGTCAAACTAGTTTCAGGGAACATCTTGAACATAAAGTTCAAGCGCGTACGAAAACCTCGAGAATCTTATATGTGAACAATTGTTTTTGATTGAATATCAATCGTTGATACAATTTCCGATTACGAAATACAGAGAAGTGCACAAAAAACAGCCAGGACTGTAATTTTTGAATTATTCGAGATAGGGTTTAGAATATTGGTGGGTAGCTAGTAAACCAAATTGCTCATTAATTGATAAAAAAATTTAAAAATCAAAAGTAGGGGTCGTTTCCAGTAAAACCGAAAGTGATAAAACAAAAATCGTTCCTTCAATTAATGAGCAATTTGCTATACTAGCTGCCCACCAATTGTCAAAACCCTATCTCGAATAATTCAAAAGTAACAGTCCTGGCCGTTTTTTGTGCACTTTTCTGTATATAGGTCAAACTAGGAGACACAGTCAAACTAGCTTCAGGGAACATCTTGAACATGAAATTTAAGCGCGTACGAAAACCTCCAAAAAGATCGAGAATTTTATACGTAAACGTTTGTTTTTGACTGAATATCAATCGATGAAACAATTTCGGTTGATGAAATACTGGAAAAGAAGAGGAAGAGGAACTTTAATAGACACAGAAATACTTACAGACATGGCCATGATCATGGTCATATGCATGGACCCATTGCCGTGGTTCATATCAGTATGGTCACTGGGATCCATTGTGGCCATCATCATCTGATGGTTGTGCATGCTGTGCTGGGAATGGTCCATTAAATCAATTTTTTTTTTCTCTCTGGAATGCTATTTGTAATGAAAAAAATACATGAGGGTTCGGTGTTATACAGGGTGCCATTCAAATAAATACAAATAGGTATTTTAAAACCTAAGAAATATTTTAAAATGATAAGTATTTTAAAACCTCCGAAAATATTTTAAAACCTGGTTCAAAAACAATATAGGCTCTCGTGAAACAAGTTGCATATGATTTTTGCTGTGAAACTTGATGGGAATTAGCATTCTAGTATCAGTATATAGGGTATAGGGTATTTCTTAAGTTCGTGTAGAAAATTCAGTAGCATGTTGCTGACGTCTAAATGAGAAGAAAAGTTCGTATAAAGACTCAAAAGACATGTAGGTGGCGCAACCCCCACGAAAGAGACAAACTAACATAAAATTTGATATTGTCATTGAAAAACACCCCTAGATACCAAATTTCACTACAATATCACAATTATTTTGAAATTTATCAACAAAAAACAAAAATGAGAATTCAACTTTGACACCCTGTATCTCAGAAACAGATAACTTTCGGACATATGTTTATACGAACTTTTCTTCTTATATAGACGTCAGCAACATGCTCCTGAATTTTATAAACGTACTTAAGAAACACCCTGTGTATACAGGGTGATTCAAAAGTCGATATAAATATTTCAAGGACATATTGTTGGCATCAAAATAAGACTTTTTGTGTCCTAAAATTTACTTCCTCCAATCTACAACCACTAAGTTAGGTAATAAAGAAAAAAGATATTCTGAAATTGTGACTAAAATAATGGATCAAATCTTCTGAAAATTGTCCTTTTAGACACTTTATTTCGTTCATTCTTCAAAAATTATGTAAACCCAGTTTTGGAGGGGGGTCCTCACTTTTATTGGCCGAAATGGGGTGCATTTTAGGACATATGTTTATATCAAGGAAAAGTCTTATTTTGATCCCAACAATACGTCCTTGAAATATTTTCATCGAATCTTGAATTACCCTATATAATATATGATTTCTACTCGGATTTCTATGAATTTTGGGGATGAAATTTCTCGTTAATAAAAAGAAAATTAATAGTACACAACAAGCTCTATTCGAGAATGTAGACAAACCTTGAATATCTACCTGAAGACCTACTTTTGATTGTTGAAAGGGTCAAAATTTCAAAAACGACTATTATATAGGCAATTTTATTTCCAAACAGTGACTAGCGAATTCAAATCAGGCATAGATAGCTAAAATAGCACCATAGGAAATTTCAAATCTCATATATAGGGTGTTAGTTATTCAATGGCAAATTTTGATATTTTTGATTTTTTGATTCACCCTGTATCAAAATCTAAGGAATTGATATTTTTTATTTATTTATTTATTTATTACAACTCTGTATCCGCTGCTACAATATTTTGCTTGACAGCTCCTTGAAATCTTATAGTAACTCGAGTAAAAGTATAATACCTAGTTGTGAAGATTTTTTTTTTTTTAAGGTGAATAAAGATATACAGTAAATATCAATACTGCAATATTTGTTGAAACTACTGCTCAATCTACTAATTGGAGAATTGGGGCCTAAAATTGTATTTCCATTATACAGTGTGGTCATTTAAGTGTGCAACATATGGGAATCTTTTTAATGAATTGCACAAGCAAAATACAGATAGTGCGAAAAGTTGGTGCGTCTTCGGTAATCATTTTAGGTGCACTTAGAACGGTTGCAAGTTCCACAGCATACAGGGTAGGTCAAAAAATATAAAAATTGCTCAAGAGTGAAGTACCCTTATTTCAGAAAATTCAGCAAAATGTTATTGAGAAAAGTTGTTTACAATTGAAAGTTATGCCTAAATACCAAAACATGGCCTCCTAAGACATTTTTTAGTTTTTCAATTTTGTTGGTGAATAATATCCCAATTTGTAATTTTTTTTATATTCACCCTGAATACTTTCATAAGTTAATCATAACAAAATCAGTTGAGCATACCTTCGTTCAAATTCAGGCATATTTGTGCAATTAACTTCAATTTTAATTTTTTTAGAGAATCACAAACTTTATGTTTGTTGCAACGATATTCAGCTTAACTTTAAAATTTCGCCAACCATATTTTCAACATGGTAAAACATCATTAATGATAATATGCATATTCAAAAACTTCCATTAAATGTGAACATTTTGTATTTAAAATATTACTAATTGGAAAATTATTAACGAACAAAATTTAAAAACTAAAAAATGTCTTAGGAGGCCATGTTTTGGTATTTAGGCATAACTTTCAATTGTAAACAACTTCTCCCAATAACATTTTGCTGAATTTTCTGAAATAAGGGTACTTTACTCTTAAGCAATATTCATATTTTTTTACCTACCCTGTATGCTGTGTGACTTGCAACCATCCTAAGTGCACCTAAAATGATTACCGAACATGCACCAACTTTTGGCACTATCTGCATTTTGGTTGTGCAATTCATTGAAAAGATTCCCATATGTTGCACACTTAAATGACCACACTGTATATTGAGTAAGAAATTGTTAGGAGTGTTCCTAGGAGGAATATGTAAAGAGAAAAATGATAATAATGTTGGACAGTCATAATGATTCATTAGAACCTTGAACGTGATGACTAATCAGTGATTATTCTTCGTTTTTATAGTTCCAAAATACCAAACGACTGCCGAACTAGATGAATATTTTCTATGTTGCAGGTTCTAATTCAGAAATCTCACGAATCTATGTTGTACTTTTTTGATCCTTAGTTTATATACATTATAATATATCCTCTGGATTCCAAATCACACTCGTGAAATTTAATTTTCTATAAACAAATGCAAAGTGGAGAGATTTCAATGATTTGTGAGGTTTAAAACTTCTACAAATTCGATGTGTAATAGTATATTATTACCAGTAATAGTACTCTTATATCCCTAATAACACACTTATGTCCCATGGATATCTTTAGGACATTCAGGACGTCCATAGGACGTTCGAATCTGGTACAGTGTACGTCCATTGGACGTCTGTGGGACGCACAAATGTCCCACTTGAGGACCAACTAGGGACGTCCTTGAGGGATGTCCCTGGGACAACTATCGAATCCCTAAATCCGACAGTATTCCTCATCAAGCACTACAGAGGACATCCTTAGGACATCCATAGGACAACCTAACAGCAACACTGAGGTATATAAATTGGATGTCCATAGGATGTCCCAGGGACGTACGAATTATTCTTGAATTTGAATTTTTCTGGGTCCCTCTAGGACCAGATTTTGAATAACTGATTAGGACATCCAATTGAGTTGATGGTCCGTAGAAGGTCCCCAAAAAGTTTCCCAAGGATGTCCAATGGACTTACGTGAAGGACATTGGCAAAATATGGCGTCTGCTAAACAGACAGCGGATCTCGTGGTGAATAAAAACATCAAAACTTTGTGCAATCATTGCAAAAAAACCGTAGAAAGTGCTAAGTTTTGTGTAAAATGTAAAGACGGATTCCATCCTAGTTGTCTTGTGCAATCCAGTCAAAAGAAAAGTGCAATATGCATACATGTAAGTGGTGAAACCACCCAAACTATGAGCAACATCTCCGAAAACAAACAGAGCATCGATCTAGACAGCAATGAGATTGCCGAGGATATCGTCAAAGCTCTACAATGGGAAAATAAGGTATTGAAAGATACAATCAAGGACTTACAAGAAACAATTACGTCATTACAGGAAAACGTATCCACTTTGAAATTTGATAATAACCAAATCAAACTCAAACTAGTAGAAAACACAGATCTCATGTATGATAGACTTAGAGAAACAATCGAAGGAATTGTGAAATCGTCCATAAATGAAAACTTCGACAAAGTAACGAAAGATGTTCTAGGAATAAAAAACAAAATCATCAATCTGGCAGCAAAAAACATCGATGAGACACGCTCGCCAGCCACACAGAAAAACACTAAAATGCCCACCGAGCGCTCTCGAAGTCCGAAACAAAAGTTTCACACAATGTTGCCAAATCCAAAAATAAGTCTTCAAAGTCCTACAAGTAAGCCAAACCAGTCCAACATTTCGGTACTTTCAAACAAACATACCACTTTGAAGTCTACGACAGCAGAAGAAGAAACCAATGCAAAAATACTCATAGACAAACAACTGAAAACCATGAACCGGATTATCAATTTGGACAACCAAAAGGACGAAGATGTAACCATGCAGAAGGATCAACAAACCCTCAAAAAAGACTCTGAGGATGAGTTTCAAGAACCCAAAAAAAGGTCTCGGAGGCGTCGCTTGAATATAGGCACTGGAGAAGGGGGGCATCAATTCACGGGCAGAAGCGAGGCCAAGAAAAAAATCTGGCTTTTCATCACAAGAATTCCTGATCATGTGACAGCTGAAATCATCAAGAACTTCATAGAGGCAAAAACCAAATCTGAAGACATTTCGGTAAAAAAACTAACTACGAACAATACTAGCAATAACAACCAATCTTTCATGGTGGGAGTAGATCCTGAACTGATGGAAACTGTCTATGACCCCACCTTTTGGCCAAAGAAAACGGCATTTGAACGTTTCGACTTCAGAAGAGGAAAGAGATTTCTTGATGATGAAGATCAAGACTCAAACAACCGTCCAGCAAATTTTTTAGTGTAAACACCCCAACATCAAATCTTCGACACGGTGCCTTGAAGATTTTTCATTTGAACATTCAGTGCATTTCAAACAAAATTAATCAGCTCCTTTTACATCTTGACGAACATCAGTATGATATATTATGCCTAACCGAACACTGGCTGACCTTAGAAGGTCTAAAAACAAACAATATTACTGGTTTCACTTTGATCAGCCAGTTTTGCAGATTAAATACCCTCCATGATGGTGGAGTCTCCATATTTGTAAGTACACATCTAAAATGTAAACCACTGAATCTGGATGCTTTTTGCATAGAAAAACATGCAGAGTTCTGCGGAATCGAAATATTAGAAAATAAAACAGCTCTTATAACAGCATACAGACCATA